GCTCCAGTTGTAAAGATCAATACTATCAGGACTGTGCTAAGTATTGTGGCTAGTGAAGAGCTCTATCTAGAGTAATTAGACGTGAAGACTGCATTTCTTCACGGAGACCTAGATGAGGAGATCTATATGCACCAGCCTGAAGGTTTTTCAGAAGGAAAGAAGGATATGGTGTGCAAATTGAAGAAGAGCTTATACGGCCTTAAACAAGCTCCAAGACAGTGGTACAAAAAGTTTGAAAGTTTCATGCACAAGGAAGGCTTCCAGAAGTGCAATGCTGATCACTGTTGTTTCTTCAAGAAATATGAGTCCAGCTATATCATATTGCTACTTTATGTCGATGACATGTTAGTAGCAGGATCAAATATGGAAGACATCAGAAATTTAAAGATGCAGTTGTCAAAAGAATTTGACATGAAGGACTAAGGCCCAGCGAAGAAGATTCTTGGAATGCAAATCACGAGAGATAAGCAAAAGGGAGTTTTGCAGTTATCTCAGGCAGAGTACATCAACCGTGTTTTGCAGAGATTTAACATGGACAAGGCCAAACCAGTCAGTACACCTTTGGCCAGCCATTTTCGTCCATCCAAGGATCAGTCTCCTCAAACAAAAGAAGAAGAAGAGTTCATTGCTAAGATTCCTTATGCTTCAGCCATTGGGAGTTTGATGTACGCGATGGTCTGTACAAGGCCAGACATTGGCCATGCAGTGGGAGTTGTGAGCAGGTTTATGTCAAAACCAGGAAAAGCTAATTGGGAAGCAGTCAAATGGATATTGAGATATCTACGAGGCACAACAGAAAAGTGTCTGTACTTTAGAAAGGGAAATCTAAAGTTACAGGGCTACGTAGATGCAGACTTTAGAGGTGAAGTTGATCACCGAAGAAGCACCACCGGTTATGTTTTCACTGTTGGAGCTACAGCTGTTAGTTGGATGTCGCGCGTACAAAAGATTGTTGCTCTATCCACAACAGAGGCTGAGTATGTAGCAGTGACAGAAGCCAGTAAAGAATTGATATGGCTTCAAGGATTGTTAGCAGAGTTGAGTTTCACTCAAAAGGAGAGTGTCTTGCACAGTGACAGTCAGAGTGCGATACATCTGGCAAAGAACTCAGTGTTTCACTCCAGAACTAAGCACATTGACATACGATATCATTTCATCAGATCTCTTCTTGAGGATGAAGTGCTGGTTTTGAAGAAGATTTTAGAAAGCAAGAACCCAGCAGATATGCTAACGAAGGTGGTGACTATTGACAAACTGAAGTTGTGCTCAACTTCAGTTGGCTTGCTAGAGTAACAAAACGGAGTAGACTACTGCAGTAATTGAGGTGTGAGGACAGATTGAAATCAGTGCTCAAGTAGGAGATTGATAAGAGACAATTTGGGACCATATTTAATTTTGGTTGCACGAGGCCATTAATAAGGTGGCTATGGTGGCTTTAATTAATGATGGTGGCTGAAATTAATGTTGAAGGAGGCTGAGCAATAAATTGCAGCCGAAAGTTGCACAAATTCTGCAGCAACTTTGCACATTTTTCAGCTATAAATAGGAGCACAATTTTGAAGCAAACCACAACAAAAATACAGCAACATTTCAAGAGAAAAGAAAGAGAGAGAGAGCTAAAAATAATTAGCCTTTGTGTGTATTTTTGAGTTGTGAGTTGTGAGTGGTTTCGAGAGTGTTTTGTAAACACGAGTGTATTTCTTTTTCCCAATAAAATATCTGCAGTAGTCCGGAGACGTAGGCATTATTGGCCGAACTCCGTTATCAATTTGGTGTGTCCAATTTTTCGTTTTTATTTCACTTTTATAGATCCGACTTCATGGAAATTTCAGCGTGTTTTTCTCAACACCAATCTACTACCAGTCGAATGGTAATGGTAACAGTGTATTTATTTTTTATTTTTTACGTTCGAATGGTGTGGTATTGTTTTGATGTGTGTATGTTCATGGGATATATATATTACACATGCATGAACTGTGGTACTGAATCATACTGATTCAACAAACCT